TTCACATTTTTCATGTTTATTCCATGCAGATGGCTCCATTTTGAACATCCAGAATTTGTTTTGACTCGGAGACTATAGCTTGTAAACAGAGGGTGGCCTGGCATCTGGGCCGCGTGTAGGTAGCTCCTTGCGTTTGAGCTAGAAGTGAACGGGGCTTTAGCCAAACCATTAGTCAATCAAAATAATGTGGCTAGCCAGATGAAGGCAGCCTATCCAAATCGAGGGGAAAGTCTGAATTAGAGGTGGTAGCTTTGTCCATAAATTGACAAATTGAAATGCTAGCAGTGTTTCACTTACGCAGCTATTTTAGTCCAGCTCTAAATGCTGTTTTGCAGCTCTAAGCATCTCACTAGTAACTGCTGGGAACTGAATCACACAGAAGTTCTGTTCAGTGAACGTGTTGATAAGAATAATGCAGTGCAAATGCATAGATATACATATCTATATTTATAACGCAAGGCACAGAAAACTCGGTTGCATCTCGCTTAAGCACGAAGCCACGAGCGGTGATTCTTGTCTCTGCGTGTTGCATGTATGGAAATGATTTTCAAGGACAAATGAATACCGCAAATATAAAGGTCTCGACTCTTTTTTGTGAGATACAGCTCCTAAAATCTTGCAGACGAGGCTTGGGAGATTTTCTTGTCTTCTGTCAGGATTTAAACATTTTAACTGTTTTGTATATATTAACTAAAAGAAAGAGACGCTAATTTTGTTTTGTCACTCGAGCTATCTTTTGCTTTGAAAGGCTCCCTGTGCCTTTGTCTTCTCCAGTTTAGGTAATTAAGTTGAAGGATACGTAACCAGAATAGGCGCAGAGGCCTTGCCTTTATTTTGTTAGACCTAATTATGCCAGAAAATGCAAAATTTTTTTTCAGTAGCTCCGGCGTATCCATTCAGATTGGACATGTGCTTCCGGCTTATCTGTTAGTTCAGTTCTGCATGCACATTGCCCAGGTCTATCACCTTGCTGGGGAAAGACATGATTTGTAAATCTGAAAGAATTCCCCAACAGCTACCATAAAATTAAGCTGTTAAAGAGCTCTTGTAGCTTGTTCAAATGTAGACCTAAACAAACCTCTTTGCTGTTTAGCCCAAGATAAATCTTTTAAAACTCCTGCTCTAAATCACTTCCTAATTTTAATGAGTTTATATATCAGCCTTTGCCAGATTTTTACTTTAGCAATTCTCAAAGATTACAGCAATGATAAAGTAAGGACTAAAATTGTTTATTACATATTATTCTTCAGAAGCAAACTTTCCCCCCCAGAGGCTGTTGGGAAGAGTTATTGATTTTCTGCCACCAAGTGAAACGTGTGACCTTTATAATATGAGCAATGATTAGAAGGCCAATAAAATGACATCATTCTGTTTAAACCTCAGAGCTCGCACAGCAAATAACAAAATGTGCCACATTTAATGATGTCCGTGGACAATAAGTATACATTGCCTGGTTTCAAGTGAGACTGAAACACCAAGCAGACAGGCTGTCGGCTCCCTAAAATTCCCCTGTGTTTTGCCAGGGGTGTGGGACTGGGAGCATAGACCAGGTAGAGCTGTATCCCTTCACAGCTGATAAGAAGTTGATAGAAATTTTGGGTTTGGCATTTCTGAGAGCAGACTTTTCTAAATGTTTGCACCTACCAGCGCTGCAGACGAAACCCCTACTGATGTAAATTATACAGGGTCAGACATCTGGGGCCCGGTTGTATGCATTCGTACATATTTTCTCCTAATCGACTGCATATGCCTTTCTAAATACTGTAGAATATTCTATTCTAAACAGAACAATATGGAATTTAGAAAAAATTATAAATAAAATAAATTCCATTATTGTAACGCAGCTTTAGCTAATTCTCTGTGGTTGCTCTAGAGTAACTAAGAGACAGATATGTTCTAAATATATGAAGTATAACTGCGCAGAGGGTATTGATTTTGTAATGCATGTTAAAATAAGGAGTGCTATCTGTGTTTTAGTCAGGCTGAGAAAGGAATTCCACAACCTGATTTACTGAAACCATTAAAGAGAAGAAATTCATGGAATTTTGACATTTTCAACTTCAGTTACATAAATCTCATTCCATAAAGTTTTTTTTTTCTCCATTCTGTCAAAAATTCACTTTTGACCCGTTAGGACCTGCTGCAGCCAGGTCTCCAGCCCCTAAGCATTTGCTGCTTAGAAAGCCCAAGCGAAACAGCGCAGCCCTCTCAAACCATCACAGAGGAAGGAACAGGCACAATTTGCTCTCCCATTTCTGGCTCATTGTGTAATATCAATAATCTCAGTAGCTTTGTATTATACTTACCGTAAGTGGCTCTAGCGATTGATTAAACACCTTAGCTTTTCTTTGGCGTTTAATCAATTGCAGCAGCAGTTTATTGCTTGGTGTATTACAAAGTAAAAGAGATTATTGCTTAATTATTCTGAAAAAATAATAACTTGAAGTTGTTGCTAACATCGGTATGTGTCTGCTGGGCTGCTGGTGTCGCATCATTTTCTGCTCTGTGCCAGCTCCTCAGGGCCCAGAGCCCCCCACGGAAAAGCGAGCAATTCCCGCGGTCGCTGCTGCCCCATCACACGCAGTTGTTCCCACGGCCATCGCCAGCACAGAGGAATTAGTGCCATAAATAAATGCTTACGGTGGGGCTTCACACCATGCGAAGAGCCTGATTCTGTCACTTGCTGGGTACCTCCAAATTTCACTTAAATTATTAGGCAAAGCCCTTATCACTCAGGCCTCTGTGAACGTGAACTCGCTGTCAGGTACTAACTGCTTACTGGAGACAACCCAGCAATAATGGCATCCATAGCAGGCGGGCTTTTCGATAGCCCTGGGTGCAGCACCAGATGTGCACGCGACTGCAGATAAATCAGCTATGGGGGATGTTATTGGTATGTGAGGGTGAGGGAGAGAAAACAACATTTTATGACATCCTCTTGAGGCTTTAGGAAATGGTGACTCCTCTGTTTCCATACCTGAGGTTTTCTGCCTCAAGTGCAAAATCAAATCCATATGCAAGAAAAGAAAGTTCGGAAAGACTATTGGGTGCAATAAAGCACAAGGATTCAGGGGCAGTGTACACACATGTGCCTGTTGGGACACCACTAGTGTCATAATCAATACCTACTCTTTTTTCTGCTTGTGGAACAGCGTCTAACCCAATGGCACGCCCATGTAAAGGGGACAGGCCAATATTTAGAATAAAAAAATGGGGTTCGGTTCCTTGCTTTGCTACTGACTTCCTCTGTGATCATGGGCAAGTCTCTTGGTCTCCGTATGCTGCAGTTTCGCTTTTGGGAATGGGCGTAACAGTTGTTCAGTGCCTTAGAGAAACACATGAAATTAAGGCCTGCTAGCTGCTCCTTCATTATGGTAATGGAGAACACATAAATACTTTAAATAGCTGAATGAAACGTCTTTAAGGCCTTGATTCTCCAAAGACTCCTGTTAACTGAAAACAGAGCCCTTGACTTGAACAGGGCTAGTAGATGGAGGATCAGTGACAAAGCATCCACTGGAAAATTCAAGTATTTCCCCAAACTATTCTAGGGGTTATTAGAGAGGTGGGTGATTCATTCATGTTTTTTCATAAGGGAACAACATTGAGCCTTGTATGTTGTTTTCTCTTGCTCCGTTACGGCAATAGAGGTCTGACCTTTCTAGGCAGCTCCGTGAATCCAAGAGGTTGGGAGTGCTCTTGCTCATGTTTAAAGCTGGCATAGCCAATGAACAATGATACGTTGGCCAGTCCATAGCAGTCTTGCAGAATGCTCTGGTGGTTTCATGTCAATCGTTCTATGGCTTTTACACGTGCTCAAGCAGAACTGGAGCGAGCAGGCGTTGACTGTCCAGTGCGTAGGAGAAGCTCATGTTTCTTTGAGAAGGTGCTGGGTGGTCCTAACCGTTAAAAGAGTTTATTTTCTTACTCCAACAGATTTCCCCTCCCCTCCTTGACGTTACCAAATTTATTATCGTTTTTGTCTTTCAGGTGTAACCTGCCTTTAGTGTTGCAGACACATCAGCCAACCATGCATTAGGAACTGGGCCCTTATTTTAATTCAGTATGATATTTTTTTTTTGTCCAATAATTTCACAAGCACTAATCCACACTTCAAATGCAGGAGATACTTTGATCCCCAAATTGTTCAGCACTTCATGCAGGAAAAACCGTAGGCCACAGTCATGAAACTCCTAGAGGATGGCTGCTGGCTTCCTGTGGCAGAGCTGATTGTTGTTTTCCCCCTTTCCCTTCTTTGCTCTAACCATTTTGTCTGTCTATCTTGTCTTGTATTCAGTTTTCAAAGCAATTGCCATGAGGGGCTTCCTTTTTTTAGTGCCTAAAAGGGAACAATAGATTTTTAGAATGAGTATATATATTTTTATATGGCTGTATGTATCATATATATCATATATATACTTTAATGCACTGAGAAGTCCAAGCCAAACAGAAATTAATATTTATTATTGTTATTTCTGATGAAAAGGTCTTAAAATGTATCCTTAAATGCACATGACATTTAAAATTATTCTAGTACTGGATTCCTGAAAAACTAGATGACCTTTTCTCTTGAAATTGAAGAGGTTTTTTTCCTTAGCAGTTATATTATGCACAAGATAAGATGAGATGTTAACCGAGATGTTAAAATGTATTGTTTCCCTTTGAAAGCTAATCCTGTTCCTCATTTTCATTAATGTTGGCTCATTCTTTTTTCTTTTTCTTTCTTTCCTTTCCTTTTCTTTTGCAACTGTTTTTGCATGAAAATGCAGAGTAGCAATAAACAGATTTTTCGTAAGACTTGCTTTAAGACTCTTCTCTTTCAGATCCAGTTAAAGTCTTTAAGTTCAGTTATTTTAAAATTCATATCTTCAGTTCCGTAAACAAAAAAAAAGGAGAAATGTAATGAGGTGCAAAACGATTCCCTAGTCCTCACTAATCAATAAGCGCCAACAAAATGGGGATGGCGTAATGTCCGTAATTTCATTGTCTGCTGTTGCCAGGTCACCGCGAGATGGTAGCCGAAGCGGGGAGAAGCTGGAACTGGCCATGTCAAACCTCACCGCAGATGTCCTGGAGTTACTCCTGGAGTTTGTTTATACAGGTTCCTTGATCATCGATTCAGCCAATGCAAAAACTCTACTGGAAGCTGCCAGCAAGTTCCAGTTTCATACTTTCTGTAAAGTGTGCGTTTCGTTTCTAGGTAAGAACCATTCCATCTAGTGAGAGTTTAAGGTCACGTTTCAAGGTTTCTAAGACTTTATTTTAATGGCTCTTACAAGGGGATTAGGAAACTGAAGATTAAATATAATGCAAAGCATGGTTTCTTTGAGTTGAGAGTCGCATTTAAAATGCTGACACAGTGGCTGGTGGAAAATGATATAAAGAAGTGAAGCCTGTTTAAGAGCAACTGCATTCACATCTTCGCTAGATTTCTGTTGTTTTGTATTTTTATACTTGGTATCAATGTGACATTTTATGTCACAGAGGTTGGTCTTGCCACAGATCAGGCTGAAAGGTACAGGCAGCTTCTGACGTGACAGCAAATGCTGGGTACTGTGGCGGACTAGGCTGGCCATGCACTGAAGGAGGTAGAGCTGGACTCCCTCAGAGAAGTCATGATCTGCCATTTTCTGCCATCCCTGAGAAATTCCTTCCACTCACCGTGTTCTCATAGACAAAATCTCTGTTTTACCTACTGCAGGTTGAGTGGTCATGGGATTTGCTCCTTCACACAGAACTAAGATCTGATTGCTACATATGGTATCAATACACACGGTTTGTTGGCAAACCCATGAGGTCAAAAGGATGCTCATGGCAACTGGTGTGCCCTGCGTGCACGGGCAGCATTTGCCCCAGCAAGGGTGCGTAGAACGCCTCACTGGTGCCCCTGCCCTTCTCCTCATGGCCACATGAGAAGCCCAGAGCACTGTGTGGTCCTGCTCCATGCATTTTGCATTCAGTTTTCAGCACGAACTATTTCAAAACAGTCCATGGATACCAGCTCAGTTAAATAAGCTTTACTGGTCTGAACTGGAACCAACCAGCCCCATTCTTGTCATGGGAGAACAGGAGCCAGAACTGGAACTCAGCTGGAAAACGTGTTGGTTCAAATTCCTGCCTGTATCACATGCCACTCCTTCATTGGCATGGCTATGATGTCTATTAATGAGATAGTAAACATCTGTAAATTATTGATTAACATAATCTTATCAATACAGAAAGTGCAGTCTTGATCTTATATGACTTTACTTCCCATGGTCAAGTTTGAAATACTTTTGGACACCAGATTTCTACTCAGGCTTTAAAATGTCTCCCTCAACTCCTAGCTTGTTGTTGGAGATGTCATCCCCTCTGGAACCCAAATTTATGTTCAGCCTACATGGTAGGTTTCTCCTGGTCACTTCTTATTTTAAGATGACATCTAAAATTGCAGAGTGGAAGATGAGAGATTAGAAAATGTTGCTCTCAAATGAGTCCAGTTTACTACTGTGTTAATTCCCACTACTAAGCTGGCCTGTTGGCAAGATTAGCAGTGTAACTAGGCTTGTACAACTGCAGTAATTCAGTAAAGAATCTGTGGTATTGTATTCACCACTTCTTTCCAATTTTTTGCGTGTCACTTGTTTACAAATCTTTCCTCGAATGTGTGGGCAGCGGCAAAACGAAAACTATGCCTTGCGGTCCCACTATGTTGGCTGTGGAACTTGAATGAGGGCTTTTGCTCTGGCATTGCTTTTCCCCGACTTCCCTTCACCACCTTTTAAAAATGATTAGGTCTTATGGCCTTTCCAGGAACAGAAGATGTATTTAAGTTGCACTATCTCTAAAAAGTCAGCCACAAAAACAAAATACATTTATTTCGCTAAATCAATGTGAGATTTCCCTTTTCCGATATTTAATATTTGAATTCAGTGAACCATGCTATGGTATGAAATAGTAGAGTTGGCTGTATAACTTCAGTGATATATGGGGAGCCACTGGAATTTTGTATTCTCATTTGGAGAATTCATGGAGTGTAATTGCTTATTTTTATTTATAGCTGTGACTGGATTGCTCTACAGAGATAGCAGAGCTTTTGCAGTCTAAAAGGTTCAGGGAAAGGCATTTTGTCTTCTTTCTGGCTGTGTTTTTTCCTTTTCATCCCAGCCCCCTTCACTCCCCGCAAAGCAAAAGCCAAGGATGTGGTAAAAATACTTTTTCCTGGGGTTTCTGGAGGATTCGCCAGTATAAGCAGTGGTTCTCTCCCATCAATGGACGTGTCCAAACGATAAGAGAAGTGGAGAGAAGCAAAGAGAGGCCCAAACAAGTGGAAGACCAAAATAATAAGTCTGTTGAGCACAGTATAGGATCATCTCAGGTATAATTCGAGTCATCCTTTTTAGCCATGAAGCTGCAGCAGGGTCCTACCTGGCTGGTGTCTAGCCAGCTTGGGCATCTCTATCTGGGGTCTCTCCAGTGGGGTTGTTACGGGCAGAGGCACCAGATCCTGCCTACTTTTTCTGGTGGGGACTTGCTGCAAACGTGTTAGGAAAATTGTTCCATTTCAATGGGAGATTTCCTAACCAACTTCACTAGCCTAACTGTAGCCATGTTGTCTCTCTTCCCCACATGCTGTCTGTGTGCTGCTTTCGTCTAGAGCCTGACAAATGACGACAGTTTTGTGCTGGCTTATGCAGCGATGCTGACAAGTTAGTGTAGGTGCCATATGATAACCAGGCAAATGTTTGCAACAGGGTCAGGTTTTCATAGGTATTTCCTCCATCCCTATGGCTTAAGCACTGGGGTTTTGGGGGTTTTTTTCCTTTTTTTCATATTTGCTTTCCAAAGAAGCTGCAGTACAATCACAGACATGCCTCAAATGAGAATTGAGGAGATTCATCAGTGTCATGGTTTGGGCTATCACAGGAATTAACAAAGCATGAGCTCATACTTCAGCCTGCTGCTGAAATAATAAAAGTATGCTTCCTCCAGTGTAAAGGATTTGATGGAACCTGGTAGATTCATAGAGAAGAACAGGAAAGAGCAGGAGCTCTGATTTTTTTTTTCTAGCCCCCTGGGGAAAGGGCACAAGGACATTTGCAAAGAGAATGAGAGGGAGCTATGGGAGAAGCTGAACCAAGGACCGTCAGTGAGATCTGCGTGAGTAGGCATGAGCCCTTGAGAGAAGAAGAAGAGACTTGTAACATTCTTAAGAACTTGAGAAAGTGTTTTAGACCATTTTTGTTCATCCAAGGTGGAGAATTTTGAATCAGCTGGAGAACCACGTTTCCCAGCAATAGAGAAATTAAAGGACCAGCCAAATCTGGAGATAGGAGAAATGAAGAGCACTCGCACAGGGGAACTGACATCTTCTGGAAGGTGAATGCATCCAGAAGTCCTACACCTACTGCCTGTCTTCACATGCTTTTGGCAGTAGCGTGAATAACCAAGGAATAAGAGCTATATCTAAACAGATAAAAAGCGTGTGGGGAAGTGCAGGTTTCATGCTAATTTTAGTGATATCCAAGTCATCATCTACAAACCATCTTACACATTATTTAATGCACACAGAGAGGGCTTATGTCAGCCCCAGATCTTCCATGATACTGTTACTGCAATCTCACTAAGTAATCCTTCCTACAAATCGTATAGCTCTGACTTTATCTCAGCTCTTCCACTCATCCCACTCCCAGAAGTGCAGTCTTAGCAATTTGTCTGGCTGATTAACACACACTGACTCCATGCAGGATCCCACTCTAAAATCATGTAACACAAGTGGAGAATGCCTACAGTTTTATGACATGCATAGAAACAATACGATATCCAACAGTATTCCCAGCCAGTGAGAATCTGCTAGATTAGATCTGATATCCTTAAAGCCTGCTCCTAAGTCAGTTATTAACTGTCCTTGAATGTAGTGAATAGCTTAGCAGTCAGCAGCCGTGTTCTGAATGGGCTCGAGATGAAATACCGCCAACATGTATTGTTTCAAGTCCAGTATCAGTGTGACAAAAACAGCAATTATCGTAACCACATCAGCATCCAAAGGAAAATGGCACTGGAGCAGATGGAGCCGAACTGGTCCTTAGCTGCCTCTGCCACATCGGCCTCCAGAAGGGCCACAGGATTGCAAACTTGAGGTGGGCTATATCATATAAGGGAGGTCTATATCTAAGTAGTCATTGGGACTCCTTTTATAGTCAGTAAAAAATAACAGGCATTGGTAGGGCACAATTCTGCTCGTCCTGCAGTAGATATCGAAAATATTATCAGATGAATTGCATCTTAGAATTATCTGTTGCTGAGTGTAAGGGGACTCTAACATGATTGCCCAGTTGCACCATGGACAGCTGGAGTCAGGAGAGACCAGTCTCTGCCCCTTGAATTTGGAGTCAGAGGAGACAAATAGTCACCACTCAGGTGAGAACCACTCAGGTGGTTCTTCTGTTCACAGGATGGAGATTTTCTCTGCAATAGCTGTTGCCCCAACCGCCATCTTGCTCCGCTAGAACAAATCCAGCTAGTTCATATCCCAGCCCTCGTCTTAAAAAGATATCACAAAGTCCACCTCGCCATTGTACCCATTGAATCAAAAGTGCTGAAGTGTAAAAAAGTGGGTCACCAGCCTCCAAACGTACCGCAGGCTGCATCTGAGGCCCCTCTCAGAAAAGCCACATTCTGGTCTGCCACCGAGCGGTTTCTCGGGAAGAGGAACAAGTGCCTGACGCTAACTACTGGTGATTCTCAACAGGAAAATCCACATCCAGAGCTGCCTGGCAAGCCTGTGTGCCAGGGTTGCAGGTGTAGCAGGGGTTGGTGTTGCAGTTTTAGGGTGAGAAAAGCCTGTCCAAACCCAAGGAAATCAGCCAGAACCAGTCCTTCTCCTGCCCCACGCTGGAGCCTGTCAGTCGGCTGGGGACATGCGGGAATCTCTCCTGATAAAAGCAAATCAAGTCCCTCAGGGGTGAAGCCTCATTTTCCAAGTTTTTTTCCCTTATATACTAGTAAAGGCCTGCATATGGAGTAAAACACGCTTAGTACCTTTATTATAAACCTTACGTGGATATGGTGGGACAGTGTCAGATTTTCTTTGACTTGAGAGTTTGCCAAGTGATGAGAATTTTGTTCCCTGCTATGTGATAATTTTATCCACAGCTGTATGTATACGTGAAACCGTGCTTTTCAAAAGCTGCACTGCAGACCGACAGACCCAAGGAATCTGGAAGACTTTTTTAGGTTTTTTTTTTTTTGGGGGGGGGGGGGGGAGAAAGGGAAGTTTTGTGCTTCAGAGCTTTCAGTTTGCAGCCTGTCTCTGGGCAGCCTTTGAGTGGTGAAAGGTAGTGACAGAAAACAGTGCTGCTGTTCCAGTCTGCTCGAGGAGACAGGGCTCCTTGGAGTCACTACAATCAACTGAAGCCAAATGAGATATCCGAGTTTCTAGACTGGTGAATCTGTAAAAAAATAAAGAAATAGGAAAAGAAAAAGAAAACAAAAAACCGCAAAACCCCTAAGCTACTGCCAAGTGAAAAAAAGTAGGTCATAATCCCATTTTAATAAAAAAACACATATAGATATTGCACAGTGGCGTTTTGAATCTGATGAAGGCAGAAGCAGGGTGCGGGGAAAAATCACTGAGCGTTTTCAGCAGAGACAATCTGGTGGGAGCTGGGCTTGAAGACATTTTGGATTCTCTCTCTTTTCTGTGCTCTGAAACAATGCAGTGGGGTATAGCACTGCCCAAATGGGATATATTTTTCCTCTGGTAGCACCACCTCTGTGATCTGTTGCAGTCTCGTTCTTTCTCTCTTTTTTCCTTGCTCTTATTTCTTAAAAAATACCTTCTGCCTATTAGTAGCAGCTTGGTTTACAAAAGCTGAGAAGCATCTGAGAGTTCCTCTTAGGAATGTCTGAAATTGGTGGGTTTTTCTTCGGAGTAGCTGAAAAGGGAAAAGTAACGTCAAACGTGTGGTGTAGCACACACTCTTAACGCAGAGCCACACACTGTGCTGTTACTTCTGTTTGCCAGGGAGGAGATAATGCTGTCTCCTCTGCGCATGATTTGCTTTGAAACCCACTACACAACATTTAACAGAAGCCGTTAGTATAATCTGTGTTTTGCATATGGGATGTCATCACATTCAGCGGTAACAAAGTTCCTTTGAAAAAAAAAGGGAGGGCGGGGGATTTTTTTTTTTTGAAGTGTCTTAATCGCTGAACAGGACAAAAATTATCATAAAGCAACTGCAGCATCCTCCAAAATGTCCTTAGTGCTGTTTGCATTTAATCTTGAGTGTCTGCACTGGTGTTTACATCCCTGCTGTTTCCTAAAGCAGCGTTGTGGGCGGTGGAAGCGGTGGCAGTCTCTTGGCTGGGTTCCCTCCCTCGGGAAGCCCCTGGTGCTATTCTGGCTCTCCCCAGTGCATTAGGAAGGCTTACACCCAAAGCAAACGTGGCAAGTGTATTTCTCTCCCTGTCTCCAGCTCAGCCGTTAGACAAACATGGATTTTCTATTTCAAGCCCCAGTCCTAAAGTAATCCAGGGTGCTGTGTCTAATTAACGACTTGAAATTCACTGGGGCTAGAGTTTCGTCCGTGGCGCTTGTTTTTTTCATGGGGGCAATAAAAACATTGCATCTCGCTTTTAATAATTCTCACTTGCTTTCTATTTGCTCCTTTTAGAAAAACAGCTGACTGCTAGCAACTGCTTAGGAATATTAGCCATGGCTGAAGCCATGCAGTGCACTGAGCTATACAACATGGCCAAAGCGTACGCCCTGCAGATTTTCCCAGAGGTGGCAAATCAAGAAGAGATCCTTAATATCTCGAAAGACGACTTCATTTCCTACATGTCCAATGACAGCCTGAACACCAAAGCAGAGGAGCTGGTGTATGAAACAGTGATAAAGTGGATTAAGAAGGATGCTGCCATCAGAGCTCAGGTAAAAATAATCTCAGCGGCCTCACTCTGCTCCATTCCCATAAAGGCTGCTTTAAAACAGAAACCATCCCCATGCAGTTTTCAACAAGAGGATGAGTAGGAGATGTGGGATGGACAGCTGAGATAAAGAGGAGAATGAGAATGCAGGCTGTGTGTAAAATGTTTGTATTTTCAAAATCTTATCCTCGTATTTCGTCATTTAGAATCAAAATCTTGTTTGCGACATGGATTGTACAAAGCCGGAGCCTCGAACTGTTGGCTGCGGGCTTGGTCACAGATCAACTGGGAAGGATTAGAGCGGCATGAGTAGTTACTTTAGGAAGAGGATGCCTTTTAGTAACACTAGGAAAAAAAAATCTA